AGTAAAAAAAAACTATCCTCACAGAGAGTCTTTTGAAACTCTGACCTCAAATTTGAAAATTACATTATCGCCCACTTTAAAGTGTGCATTTATCGCGGGAAAACAAAATAAATAATCACCAAGATTGAGTCTTAAGTATTTTTGTGCGGAAACTTATCCATAGCTTCACTTTATCAATCTGCGATTCTTTTTTTTCCTCTTTTACTGGCAATGACGACAGTCACAATGGCCAAATGCTCCACATAATATCCGTGTAAAATGTTCTGCGTGATATTTTGGAGCATCACAAAAGTACACAAACAATAAATAGTAATAGCAATAACAATAATAAAGCATTATCATGATGAAAATATGCGAAATTAAATAAATACGTTAAGTGCTTGGCTGTATAACCAAGCGCTGATTCAAAATTCAAATGACGTAATTCAATTATTATAATACAGCACAATTTCTATATAATATTTACGTGTGTCTTTTTTCCCCACCACTCTTCCCACAAACGCACACAAACACTCATGGGCGCTTTTTTTCTACGTATTCCTCCACAAAGAATGTGTATTGAATAAATAAATAACATAATATTTTATTTCATTTCGAAGACGAAAAGGAAGAGATAGAGAAGGGTCTGCGCGTCTTCAAGTGTATTCAAGTAGATTGAATTGAGACGGAGCCGGGAAAAAAAGACTGCATGGAAAGCGATATTCAGAGGGTCTCTTCCTCTCTCTCTGGAGGAACAATGTAGAAATTAAAGTTGAAATTTACCATGAAAGGGAGAGGAGGGGAAAAGGAATAAATATGATTGCTCATTATTCTGATTCTGTGTTCAATTCAATATATCGAAGCGCCCAAAACACACCCAGACACAAATATATACGCACGAAGCGGCAATAAAAAAAAGGGGGAAGAAGAGAAAGAGTCTAAGAAGTGTAAAATAATAAAAGTATTTGAGAAAAAATCATCCACAGTCAATTTAGACGCGCCGATGAGATGAATATATGTATAATAATATATTTTTATTCCTCAAAAATTAAAGTGTTACTGCAAGAGGAGTTTATCCACATCTCAGTCGCGACCACGTTCGTCTTGTGTAGTGTCTTACTGTTTGAAAATTGAATGTGTAATATTCTTTTCACATATTGCCGAAGACGAGCGCGCGATAAAGGGGGAAGAGCAAAAAAGAGACAAGAAAACTAAATAACTTTAATTCTTATGGTCTTTTTCATCTCTCGACTCTCGAGCATATGGAGGAATTTAAAATAATATATGTAGGAAAAAATATAATAATAAAATACATCCACATACAATGTCTCAAGCATCCAACACAGCATCCAAGCCAAGAGAGAGGAAGAGATGAGAAAAAAGGAATGGGTATTATTAAATAAATTGTATATAGAAGTTTACGCAGTGAATAAAAAAAAACACACGAGAAAAATTATATTATTCAACTCATAAATTAGTTTTATTTTCATATATGAGCCTCTTTTTCTCCATTCTCGCCACAAAAATGGATTTTGACGATAAAAATTTTCAACTCGACATGATTATAATTAATGGGATTTTTCCTCACCAACTCATTCGACAGAATTGTGAGAATTCTGTCTTACTTAATATCTTTTCGGGCGCAAAATAAAGAATTGCCCGAAACTGTCATCGCCAATTATCCATATTAAAACATGATTATAACCAAATATTCTCCCAAATGGAGATCACTTATGTTGCGGATAATAGCTCATTTCACTGTTCAAGCGGACGCGTATCGAAATGCAGAAATTTTAGGTAATGATAGTCGCGCACCGTTACAACTATTAACACCCATTTGAAATTGGAAATAGCGCAATATAAAAGATGTAGAGAAGACGATAGATCGAAGATATTACACTCGGAGAATGTTGTAAAGAAGTTTATTCCAAGATTTGAGATGGCTTAAGAAATGTCATATGAAGTTCACACAGATACTTTAAGGACAGTACAATGGGAATTCCCAAGGACATGTCTACTAATATCAAAATAATCGTTTTTTACAACGGAAATTCATTTCTTTTACGTTTCGCTCTTGTTAAACAATCAAATATTCCAAAAAATTCTTATATCTAATTTTTCTGAGTGCAAAAACTCATCTGATACCGTTATAGATACAAATTCTATCAATTCGCACACACCAAAAACCCCCTGGAACTATCAATTTTTGCAACCCCAAATTTGCCTTCAGTCGCGATCGACTCTAAAACTATCATCAAGGCGATTAAATTTATTAGCGCGAGCGAAATACGAAGGGAAGACTATATAAATCTCAATATTATTAGAGCTGTCATTTTAATCCTTTACCGCACAATCTCGTCTCCATCTTTGGGTGCATTTCCGTGCAAAAAGTCATCGCCGCAGATGCGAAAACATAATAGGAAAGACGAACAGTATTTCCATCTGAGAATGAGAGAGAGGCAAGAGAGGTGGATATTTTTCAGCATTAAAATCATTCCCAGCCAATTTGAACAACTTGTGGCAATACTGAGAGCGTAAGATAATAATTACAAAATGATTTATGTACCGTAGTGGTAAATTATATAAATTTTTTTTTCGTTATTATATTTATTTGGCGGGAGCTGAGGGGAAAAAAATATAATAATAATTCCACTCGCTCGTACATGTGGGAATTCATGTATTCATCTATCATGTCATCGTTTTGGTTGTGTCTTAAAAATCTCCACGGCAAATCTCGCCGTGAAAAGAAGTGTATTTCAATGGGTATAAGAGCAATATTTATGGCAAAGGAGATACGACAGAGATATGCTCTTGCCGTGAAGTTGGAGAGAAATAAATAAAAGGTGTATAAGTGTAATGAGTCTGTGTGAATAATAATAATAAAAATTAAGGCAGATTGGAATATAGAATTAGTTGGTGAGGGAAGTGTAGATAATACATTTACCCAGATATAATTACACACACTCACTGGATTCTCTGGTGTGATAAAGATGAAGACAAGTGGGTAAGATGGAAGTGGCGAAAAAAAGAACATTATTCATCATCTTTCGGGCAGCAGAGATATTCTCTGTGGCTCTGCTATTGAGTCTCTTTGGTGAGTTAGTCTTTTCTAAGAGTGATTTTAAAATACACCTTGAGTACTTTGTACATTGAATTCATCCTTGCTTTGGCCATTACAGCCAAATCTTCTCTCTCTCTATCGCACATCTCAATTTATTCTCCTTCACCATAGAGTAAATCAAAGATATTAAAGTCATTTTTCCCCGCCGAAAGACATGAATAAATAAATTTCTCTCCTCATAGAACATCTCTTTTTCCGCTTTTCCTCCGGGGCGGATTTTGTTAAAGAGTGAGAGACAGCTCGGGTACAGAAAAAAAACCTTTAGAACACCCCACGCAATGTAAGAAAAGTATATTCAATATAATCTTTTGCTTACCCATAAAAATTAATAATCAATAGCGTGTGTGACGAAAATAAATTTGGTGTTCATTCTCAAAGTGAGATCTCTCCTTGCCCGCAAAGAAAAACAACAACTCATATAATTTTTATATTTTCCTCCTTGAATAGAGCATTTTGTACTGCTGAGGAGTGTACAAATGTTTACAAGTGCAGAGAATAAACATTGGGAGAATGCTCTGCTCGGGGGCGATCATAGCGCAACCTTCTCTCTCTCACACTCGCTCTCCTCATCATCATTCCAAGCAATTCCAGCCGAAAAAGACGACCACGATGTGCCTCCTAATGGGCAATTTATTTTATTTCCTACACCCAACATGTTTAATTAATTAATTAAAGCACACAAATAATACAACTATTATCAACGAGTCACATTAATCAATTAATGTAAGCATTGTGTTTGTTTCTTGTTCCATGGAAAATTCATGCGCCTTATTTTATTTCATCGGACTCTTTTTGCGCCACAAACACAACACACACACTGCAATCGAACTAATTTTCCAATCGATTAAATTACACAATTTTTATACTAATAACAAAATTTGTTCTTTATCAAAAAGCTCGTTCATGCCACTTTTCAATATTATATAAACCCACTCTTTCTTGTCGCCTCGCTTCAAGATAAGCGCGAGATTAATGTAAACGATAAAAAAAATATTTTAGGCGTTCCTTTTCCACCACCCAATATCACCTTTTGTTAAATATATGTATGCTTCCCATTTCGCAATTATTTATTGAACGAATGAGAAATAGCCCTGAAATGAAATCGATGTTTTTTTTCTTTCCTTCACCGAGAATGCGTGCACACGGCACGTTGTCTTCAACGTAATCACGTACGAAGTTGACTTGAGACTTAGAATCACTTTAGCGCAGTACAGGTGATTTGAGTTAGAGGAAAACCTCTTGAAATTGGAAAGAAATCGATATAATCTGAGTCTGTCTGCTCACAACGTAGGACTGTTTCTCAGAAGTCTATGCGAATATAATACGACAGTCCGTGTTTGGTTACTTTTATAATAAATCAAGTGAGTTATCCTGCATTAACTAGCCGCCTTCGCTATTCTAAACTAAAATACACAAATTTTAAACGATTTTTTGTTATATTTTCTCTATCAAATCACAAAAAATAATATTCTTCGATTTTTTATCTGAATCTTAAACTGTTCCGCAAAGTTCTGATATTGCCGTAATGAAACTACTAAAAGGAACATGCCAAAATCAAGTATTCACAAGACATTTTACGCTAAGGAGGGTTTTGCTTAAAGAAAATGCATAAGAACCTTTTTTTCTACCAGCCAATGAGACAATAATTGAGACAGAATTGTAGAATTTCATCATATTCTATTAAAATACGCAACTTGTGACTTGTTTTCACCACATTACGAATGTGATTTACCCCCAAAATCTGGATTAACAAACTCTCTTTGAGCGCATCAAATGACTGTGAATATGCAAAAATCCCCAAGTCTGGCGCAATTCGGTTGGCATTCAACCCCCTGGAGCTTGGGAAAATGTATAGCACACTCAACATGTTGGATTATGGGAGAAAGTGAAAACGACTCACCCTTTCTTCCTCGCGTATCATTTCGGCTATTCCCGGCTTGATTTCCATGTCGTCTGGATTGTTGAGCGCCAAAGACGACAGCCCCATGGTGTCGAGGTGGGGCGGGACGGGGAATGGCATGGATGGCGTTGGGGTGGATGCTGGTGGGTGGGTGATGCTTGAACTTGGGTGATTCTGCATGGGGATGGGCGAGGGTGGCTCCAAATTGTCAGGTGTGGAGGCGTCTCCGGGACTTCCGGCGCCTGTCTGGCTCTCCCCCGCGAGCCAGCGTCTCTTCCGCCCACTGCGACCGGCCGCCACATTATCGCCACCATCGCGGGCCTGTCCACCTGAGCTCGCGGACGCGCCGCCGGCACCGTTGCTACTCCGCTCGTGCACGTCAAAGTCCCGCGCGAGGCGCGGCTTCTTCGCATTCGCGTCCGACTTCCCGGACGAGCCCGCGCCCGACTGGTGGCCACCGTTGGCGGAGCCTGACGTGCTGGCAGACGGATTGACATCCTGATCGCCGTTCACGTCGGCCAAGCCGCGGATCTTCAGCATCTGGGCGACCCGCAGAAGGGGCGCGATCTGATCCTGGCTCACATTGATCTCGCCTTTGTACATGTACTCCACCACGGCCTTGAGCTCGGGCCACTTCACCTCCTTCATGATGATGATGGGATGCTGGCACGGGTTGTCGAAGAACAGCGCCTGAAAGTACGGGCTGCATGCGGACAGCACCATTTTGTGGGCCTTAATTGAGTGACCATCGCAGGCGAGGGTGACATCGACAAAGGACTCATTCTGCAGCAACTGGTCAAATTCACTCGTCAAGTTCGATTGATAGCTGTTCCACTTGAGACAGAACTGCTGCGGCTCAGAGTGGTTCTGTGATGTGGTGGGCAAACTCGAGAATGATTGTTGCTCTTGCTGGCCAGCCGTGGCCGCTTGCTGGCCCTGCTGACAATTTGGATTGAGGTGGGACAATTGGGAAGATGAGGGTGTGGATGACACTGGTGGCACTGATGATGGGGTCTTGGGGCGCTGTTGCTGCTCCAACACCGACACACTTGCACTTGGTGATGGAATTTTCGGGGGTGGCGTTTCAGATGGCATCTTCACAATCTCTGCACAACGTTCCTCTGATCAGCACACAATCTCTCTTTCTCTAGCACCTAAATCGACCCAATATCTATCTATTACTTATCGTCACTCTCAAGCCTCGTCTCTGGACATTGAGACAGTCTCTCAGAAAAAAAATCACACTTCAGCTGATAGCTCAAGTTCTCTCTCTCTCTCTAACCACGTCCTTAAGTGCTCTCGGGCAAACCGACCCGATCCATGTTCAACAAATCACCGCCTTGTCTAAGGTCCGACAACGCACAACCCCTTCGCGATATGCTCTTCATCCGTCCGGCAAACAATGCACAACGCACGCGACGTGCACCATAAATCAGCCTCTCTGCAATTTGTCCACAGCACAGATTCAAAGTGGCAAACAGTGTCTTTTTTATGCTCTCGCCTAGTCAGCAAAACAAAAAAGTGCGAGTATGCAACCCAGAGTCGCACGATATCTGCCAAACGTCCCGGTTCACACTGAATCTATTCCGTGTCTTGAGGCGTACAGCATGTCTCACTTTGCCATGCACTCTGGAGGGAGCGCACTCGTGCCCCACTCGGCCGCCGCTCGGCCCGCCCGATGCCATCCAACGTGCTTCTCATCTGGCGCGGACTCGACGCTTCTCGCCTCGCGGGACGTGTAGGGGACATGCGAGGCAGTTCGTCGCCAACCAACACAGCCGCGCGACGGGGAGTGAGTCTCTCGCGACTTGTCGTGCCATTCTACCCCCACCACGGCCCCTGTTTGTCCGGCCTCCATACACTCGCACGCCGCGCGCCCGGAGTCGCACCGTTGGACACCCAGGCGCGCACACACCGCCAGCGCCACAATGGGGATACACGCTGGGGCCGAGTGAGTGGTGTGGCGGGCGGCGGGCAGAGACGGCTCTCTCAGGTGGGGGGCGGTGCTTTTACACAACAAAGTCACGTGGCAGCCCGACGAGCGCACTCACACACGCGCGCCATCAGCTGCTGCCGCTGCATCTCGTCTCGGCGAGTTGTAACACGACTTGGAAAAATCGACGACATCTAAGATCATGTCTTCACCCCTTCTCCACACACACTCTTCCCACCCCGCCCACCTCCTCCCCCTTCCCCAGCGCCGGGGCGACGCAAACAGGGCGCGCTCCGAGAAAGTGATGCTGCAGAGCTTCTTGGGATGAATTACTCGCTTCGCGTACGCCAAACTTTGGCAAACACTCTTCGGATTTGACAAACATCCTCCAGTGTAATAGCAAAGTTCTCTTGACAATCTTGAACTGATGATCCACGCTTATCTAATGAGCAATTGTATGTTCTTGAACATCTGGTTATTTGAAATCGGTGAGAAGTTATAAAAATTCTTCTGAATACGACAAAATATTGCTTATGAATTTTCTAGAAAATCATGTTGCAAAGCAATTTAAGCCACAAATTTCAAATACAATTTTGAAGAAATTTTTCCGAATACACAGACATTATTGTTTAAAAAGAAAATTCTGGAAAACATACAAATTGTGGATACAATCAAATTTTAGGTAGACTAATATTTTAAAACATTTTGGGAATGTTCATTTTATCGTATCTAAGAGAAACTATCGAAACTGCAGAATAAAAATCGGTCTGGAATTATTACTCCGCCCACTCAAATGCTCCGCCTTTCTAAATATATCTTATGCACTATATCGGAATACGGTATAAAAAATCTTCCCGAAAAAATGTAACAGATACACTCTGTGCAATTACAAGGATTTCAAAAGATTTTCAACCAGATCACCCTGCAAATTAGCAGGCATTTCACCATTACTTCAGCAGCATTCTTTCCTCCCCTGTGCAGATTACCCTCACTCGCATTCACAGTGTTTAACTTTGTGAAACTCTCCCCCTGCAAGCCGACCCTGCTCTCGATTGTCTGCCCACCCTCGCCACCCCCTCAATTTGTCCAACGACACCGGCGACTGTACAATTGTATACTTTATGGACGCGCCGAACCTTCGGAGATGCCATGGCGAGAAAAACAGTACGCCGATTGTGTAGAAAAACCACCCCGACACTCCCTCTCTGTGCATACAAACATTAATTTTTATTCCACGTTTCATTTCTTTTTGCCGTTAATAAACTCTTTTTTCACAGGGCGTCGTACGTAAACACAATATTTTATATTTTTGCCCTTCACTCCTCACCCTCGCGGATTATTCGAACCACGACCGGGGGTGTCATGTCGCCCGCTCTGACCGAAAACGCCACGGCGGGTGGAGGTTGTGTATTTGCGTCCACTTTGATAAATGCTCTTCATTTCGGCCAGCCACACACTCAAATCTGCAACATGAATTTCATAATTTCGAGGCCGAAATGTCATCCACCCGCTGAAGTGTGATTTTTTTCTGTTGTTTTCTAAGCGACTAACAAACCACCCAGCATTTGTCTGGGGCTAAGCAAACTTACCTGAGGCTGAGCGCAAAACGGACTGCAAAACACCTAGAAACCTGGAAAAACACAATCGGACCAAGGGGGGACGGGGATTATAAATAATTGATCACCAGTTGTCAGAGAAACTCCCGGGCTGCTTCATAAATCAGGATGAAGGGTGCGATGCAACTAGGAAGACGTTTCCACTGACGGACCGTGCATATCCTGGAATGGGAGGAAGAAGGCAAAGAACGTCAGGGGAAAGCTGAGTACGCAACAAATTGAAAATCAAAGCCTATATATTGAACGCAGATGAGGAACAGTTTGGGAAAACATTGTCCCTCCACTCATCCTTACAAGCTATGCAAGCGGAAATGCGATATAGTTGGTCATTATTGGGAAATTCGGCCATCATCCAGTCCCCCGATTAGAATTCGTCAGAAATGCAAATTCGCGACTCCACGCCCGAGCACCAGCGGCAGCCACCCTTTTCGGCCGCCCATCTCACCCGGGGAATCGAATACACGAAATGTTTCTATTTATCTTATAGCAACTCAGCATGATCACTCTGGGAGGCTCTCGCTCTCTCTCTCTCTCTTTCTCACTCTCATCTCGTATTGATTTCACTGTTCGATGTTGATTTCCTACATGAAAATACATTCGCCCAGTGCATCCAACACACATGTCGAAAGCCACTGTCTGCCCAGAGAGCGCTACTTCACTTCGCGTTTGCCTTCTCCTCGTGTTTTCTCCCACCCCCATCGGCGCAACCCCCCGCACTCGATGCTGTGCCGCTCTTCAGCACGACGAGAAATGCAGCGCTGCTACCCATATATGGCGAGATGGATAAATGCGAAATGTAATACGCGAATATATCGGATATCTCTGGCTCTTTCTCCACCCACACCCACTGGCCGGTGACTCCTCGCCGGGGCCTCAAATTCAAATGCTACCCCCGACGCGACTGCCCGTTTCACCATTTAGAGAGACACAGGGACTCATTCGCTCGCACGCACTCGCCAAGGGGTGGCCAAGTCGAAAGTTCGCGACCGCTTTTGCCAGAGCTTGACTGCAAATATGTTTGTGCCAGATTTTACCCGCTTTTCAGCGAAAATATCATTTCAATTTTACTTCTTTAGCATTGCAAAAATATTTAAGACGATCTACGAATTCTTTCGTATTTACTTAAGTCTAGTTAGATTATAAGGTCAAGTAATAAAATGCTACAATATATTCGGATTAGTTAGGTTCTGAGTTTTCCCAACCCAAGACAAAAAAATTCAAAGATTCCCGTCAAATATTTAAAAAATTCTTGGATTCAAAGATAAATTTTAAAATAGATTTATATATTCTTGTTTATCACAATTTCTTCTACAAAATTCGATCTGTTATGTTTTTTAATATTTGTTTCAATGTGACTTGAATCTTGTAATCTGAGAATCTTGTAATTATTTCAGAAATCCTGCAGAATCACATTGATCTCCACGTCAAGTCACAAATGGCCTGAAACCCTTTCGCCTAAACCGGCCTAGTCTGTCAACTAGTTTCAACACAGAGCAATACGCAGAATGTGCCAACGCAAACACCCCTCGCAAATTCATATTCTGCGATATCTCCGAACGAGCCACACATAAGGGGCCGATGTTGCTACCCAAATGCAGAGGTTGATGGGCAAATACATATATTTCCATTTAGTATCTTTTGTATTTATTGATATAAACATATTTGCACAAAACACGGCTGCAGACGCTAATTAATGTATGTTGGCATGTTTGTAAGGCGAATTCGATATATGGGCGGCAAGAATATTTGTCCAGAGTGGGGCAGAGCATTGGCGGCCAGTTTCTGTGCATTGGCGCACATTTTCACCCACCCCCGAGCCGTCAAACATCGCTGCATTTCGAGAGGGTGGCGCACATCAGTATCTGAAGCTGCCTGACCAAGGCTCAAAGCGCGCGCGATGGGGTGGGAAGGAGTGAGGGAGGAAAAGGAGTATTTGGTGCAGCATCGTACAATAGTTTGCCGATAAAAAAATTTCAACAAATTCAATGTGGCTTTTTTCATTATTCCTCATACACACACTGAGCGTGGGTGTATCGAATTTTCAGCGATATTTTTCCTTCTTCCACACAAAAGCTTCAGATCGGCGCATTTTTTTCTCCGACAGGTAGTATTTTCTGCCCGGGTTTTGGGCGCGCAAAAGAGAGTTTTGTGTATACTCCACCTTCCACCCACTCTTCCAAATCCACCCACAGCAGTATCATCTCACATATGTATAATTCCACTTTTCTCGATAACGAACAGGAAAATTGATTATGAAATAAAAACGGAGGCGGGCGCAGAAAGGAAAAGAATGGCACACGGTACTCTCTCTCTCTCTCTGTACATGGAAAACTTCCCGCAACACCCCATCATTCGGTGAATTCTGCACATTCTCACCTTCACAGCACACATCGCAACCATGCCATACAATATTTACATATTCTACACTGTATACTTTATAACTTTATGCTGAGAATCGGATTATTCTGTGGAATATTATAGCAAAATTGAATTTCTCTTCGATCACCCCGGCGTACACATATCGCCATCGAGGGGAGCAACATCGAGTAACACACAACTGATACACCAGAGCCACCCAGACTAATGAAATACACACCTCCGGTTGAGATGAATTGTTAGAAATGATAAGAGATTATCAAGGACTACGAGGTGAATCTCCACTTCCACATTTCACAAGCCCGAAATTCGCCCCATGTTTTCATCCCGCAAAACCACCCTTGTCTCTCTGCACCACTTCCAGCCTCACCTCTTTCTCTCGCTCTCTATTGTCCCAAAACACCCCCTTCGCCTCCCCAACGGCAGTCATCAGTGATCTAACTAAGCACTGAGAGCATTACCAGCTCCGCATATCGGGTTAACCTCCATCGAGAAGGGTTAATCATTTCCCAAAGCGTTCCGTGATGAACTTGAAATCTTATCAAGTCCATTCAAATGAGGTCAGTGATAAGTGGCACAATTGAGTCGACGAGTCAACGAACTCACGATGTGCTTTAAAAGGAAATGAACAGCCTGAATTCACGTGTAAGACTCAAGAATGATGGACGAGCACTTTGCCTTGCTTGCGGAAAGGTGAGATTTTGGGGGAAAACTATAGAATTTGGCAGGCAAATAAATACATTTTCATGTTTTCTTGTAAACGGAAATCAATTCTACACATTTGCAAAAGTGATTTCTTAAAAACTCTATGGGAAAAGATAGCATTAATACTCAACTTTTCTCAGTTTTCTTCCCGCATTTTAATATAAAATAAATAGTGAAAATTTAAAAAAAAATCAGTTATTTGAAACTTTTAGATTTTGGTCGTAAATTTCGGGATCTCAGTGAAAACCGCATGTCGATATCTCTAACCATTTGCTTTCCACGCGCCTAAAAACTTTGGACAAGCGCTAATTTGCAGCTCAAATTCGGCAACTAAATAAGGTTCCACCGACGCCATCGGCATGAGATGCACATTGCAAAGTTCCCCAACCAAGAAAGGAGAACAAGAGCACAAGCATATGGATGCTCTATGATCGATTACAGGCCCATTTTAACTCATCTTACCTAATATTATTAATAATATATGAACACGGAAGAGCTGGGATACTCCAAATTACCCTTTCTGCAAATATATAATGTTTTCATGTGAATACAACTTTCCCACTCGCCTATGTAGTTGAGTTAGATGTGCTCCCTCTCTCGCCCTCCACCCCACATCCACTGATGCTCTGCCTTTCGGGGGGGTGTGTGTGTGTTGGCAATGAAGATATAGTGGAATGGTAGCATAAGAAGCGAGAAAGACCAGACATTTGAGAAGTTCCCTCTGTGAGAGATATACCACTTTTAGTTGTATTATTTATTTATAGGAGAACAAATATATGTATATATATAGCCCAAAAAGCGGGGGTGCAAGATGTCGCACATACATAATTTACGGATTCGGAGAGCTATTGATTCTCCTGAACAAATTCCCATCTCCTCGGCGCCACCCACAAACTACTGACACCTCATCCGACCAGTTCGGCACGAGGAGGTGAAAAGAACAGTATAATATTGGAGAAAACACGGAACTTTAAGTATAACTTGCAAGATTAACAACAATACAGTCTTCGATGTTCGGGGGGAGGAAAAGGTTCATACTCGAGGCGAGGGAAGATATCGAGACGCACAGATCCTCAAAAACCCGAAGACGACCCAGTCTAAGAGCACGCATAACTTGTAAAATCTTACGGTTATACATAATACATACAAATTGGAGAGATAGTTGAAACTTTCAAAAATCGATTATTTGCTCCAACATAACGGCATTTCCCCATCGCAAGATACCAATTACTACATGAATGATTAATATATGAGAAAATATATTGAAAAGTTTCCAGGGTATCATTAGGGGCGATAATAAAAGCGACGAGGAATAATATCAAGGCAGTGAAATTATTATATGAAATGCTACATTAAATTTATAAATATTGCAATATCTATACGTGGAAATTTACATATTTTATAGCCATGATAAGACAATAGAATATGTAAATTTTTCATCCTTCGAGCCACGATATTCAATGGTATACCATACATAAAATATTCGCTCTTATGAAATCATTTTCAGAATTCAATGAATATCTGAGTAGGAGGGTCTTTTCTGACTGAAATTGAGAAGACAAGCGAGCGAGCGAGAGAAAAAAGCATCAAGTTGGGCATGAAGAAAAGAATTCAGCAACTCTTGTAATTAATAATTTAATATTTTTCACATTCACATCCTCCGTGTGTGTGTGTATAGGAGATGGAAATAGGTCAGACATGTATGCAAATAATCACACGGCGCACAGGAGAGCCCAAATCCTCGAGATATGAGCAATCCCTAAACATTTTAATCTCATATCCACCGGAGATTTATCAATTTGGCAAGAGTTGTGCATAATTAATCGCAGCCGAGAGGAGTGAAAGAAAAACAATTGAGTCGCAAGTAAAGCACATTTCTCAAGCGTATGAATTGGATAAAGTAGCAAAAATCACCCGATATCGCGATGCTCTGAGAGGCTGGCAGAAGAGATGTTGCAAGAAAAAGTTTCATCTCCGCATGCATTTACATATCTTCTTCCATCCATATTCTTTCTGCCCCCCCCCCCCCTTCCCCCGCGCCCGGAGCCTCTCCATCTCACTTCAGCACACAATTTCCATTG